TCCACTTTCTTCTGGACGCCACTCATTAAACCTTTCACTTTGAGATGTTTTTTATGCACGCACCAGCCGGGGTGAATCAGAAGGGGAAGGTCAACACAGGAACTAATTGACATCGTTGTTATTCATACTTGGGCCGAGTCTTGAGCTCTGATTAATTCGGAGATCTTTTTTGCTCTCGGTCAGGGGGGGTGGTCTGCACAGAAAAAATTATCCACAGATCCAGGCGACCTTCTGACGTGACGGTTTCTAAGACACTTTTTTTCTCAGGGAAAAAAAGGGACGATTCAAGTCTGTCTGTCGTGGGTCACAACATGCTTCAGTTCACGGTTTTGGCTCGTGCGCGACCAACAAGACACCGAGCGCCCTGGTTATATGGGTCGCCTACAGAGGGCATGTGTATAGTCGCACGCCAGTAGCTGCAGTCTGTGGATGTCGTCGGCCAAAAGCCTCTCTCTGGCACGCAGAACGCCCTGAATTATAGATACCTGCAGAGGGATTTTGCATGACCTCATGTTACTAGCCTCTGTTTGGTAGCAGTAGTTTCTCGTTCTGGCAAGACCAGGGTATGAACAGGATGTGACCCCCCCCACTTCTAACCTGGAAAATATCAGCCGATCCAGCTCAGAAAATGCGTCTTTTTTCATACATACTCGCCAGCTGGAATTCTAGGAAATGCTCAGCCACTAGGAATTTGGGCGTTAGGAATTTGCCATTGTACTCCGCGTAAGATGCCCAAATTATTTCTTGCTACGACCAATTTCCATGGCTCCACAATGTTGCAAGAAAAGCTGCAAACTTTTTTCCTGCAGCTTTTCTTCTGAACTTTGTCAATGGAACTTTTGATATACGCTCTTTGTGGGACGAAGAAACGTTTTGTGCACGGGACTGGCGGAATGCGGAGGCGTGATCTTTGTTTTTTGTTAGCAACGGAGAGGAGGCACGCGTCTTTCATATTGCACCGCCAAAGAACCGGTTAAAGCGTGCGGGAGAGTGTAGTTGCAACCTTTTTTCTCCGCACTCACGATACCCCAAGGCATCTAACCTGGTACCGGAAAGATGCTGGGCATAGCTAGCTCCCTCGGGGTGGCATGGCTGTTGCTGTTGCCTTCTCGTTCGAATAGTTATCGCTGGAAAATCAAACGATGCGCACATAATCCCTTCGAACTAGAACCAATTGATCTCTGACGTGGGTACTTTGGGGTCGATCAAAACAAATTTCCCGATGCGCACGATACCCCACGGCACCAAACCCTGGGCATGAAAGGTGAAGCAGAGAGCTACCCCCCACCGGGCGGCCTTACGATTGCTTTTTCTTCCTCCCTCGGCAAGTTATCGGTGGATAACCAAACCCGTGGCGGTCAAAAACATCGAGCTTGAACCAACCGCTAGCGGCCGTTGACGGCACAAACTTTTTTCCCGGCGCATTCGACACCTCACGGCCGCAAACCTTGGCAGTGCCCAACAGCCCATGGCATCACCTCCTTCCAGATACCATTCATGAGGCAACTCGTAAAGTTTCCGTCGAGATACCGGTGATCACAGCCTTCTCACAATCGATGCTGGAGAGGGTCTACGGTAGCAGCTTAACGTGAAAAGGAATAGTTTCCGCCGTGCAGCTTTTCTCGCCCCTTCCCGACTCGAGAAAAACTGCGAAACGTTTCGGCCAAACTGCAGCCTTTCGCCCCGGAAAAAAAGTTGCAGAACTTTTCGTGCTACTTTTAGCTCCCATACTGAGCGTACATTATACAGCAAAGCTGCAAGAAAAGTTGCAGAAATGCAGCTTTTTTTGCAGCATTGTGCTGCCATAACAAGCGGTGTAAGAAAGGATCTGCCCCCGAAAAAAACTTACGAAAAAATCAGAGCTCAGGACTCGGCCTTGCTGTTTTGTTTTTCTCCACCTTCCCCGTGCGGTGCTTCGTTTTTATCGGGGGCCATGCCGGTGCTTTTCCGACCGCCGGTTTACCTGGGGTTTTTTGCCACCTCCTCCGCCATCCATTCTCATTACCACCGAAGAACGCAAACCCGTCTCCCTCCACAACCTTACCGCCGTCATTATATAAAACATATTCTGTACCGCCGAAAATTTACCACCGTATTTTGGTTTAACAGCCCTTTACACCAGAAAAGGTGAAACCGCCCACCACCGAAAAAATTACAGCCTTTTTATCTTGAAAGGTTTCAGCTGTCTGTGCCAATCCCCCGTCTACCCTGAAATCGAACCTAAGTGTGAATACTCGTCGTATTCTCACGAATGAAGTTTGCAATCGGTGTCCCGCGCAAGATGCACGTTTTTTTCATTCCGGAACGAGCAGTGAACTCCAACCTGCCACATTCTAGTAAATAGCACTCCGAACAAGTGCTGTAGGTTACGAGGTAAACTAGAACGAACACTTCATTCAGCATTAGAGCGGCTGGTTGGTAAACGACAAAAAATTGCAAGGGCAAGTCGTCTGCTGTGTTAACCATTCTTTAGGGCATAATGGCAATCACAACGCAAGACGTATGGTGTAAACACGACGAGTCACAATCATGCATGAATAACGGGAACAGGCGTCATTCCTAGCGGGACTCCAGGTCGGACAGCGGTGGCGAGGGTGGCGACTACGCAGTCCGCGAATCGACGATGATGGTCACTTGAGTATTTGTTTCGTTCTTACGATGAGAATATTTCATTTTTACGTAAATAAATATGAAACAAATACGCAGTAACCATCATCGTCGAATCGCGAACTGCGTAGTCGCCACCCTCGCCACCTCTTTCCGACCGGAACGAGTTTTCCCCGGTAGGGAACTCTGCCGCGACAAATGCCATCCGGTTGGCCCACGAAAATACGTATGATATGTACGTACGTATAGTACGTCGCGTGTAGCGACATGGTCACTTATGTAACGGAGACTTCATTTGGTCATCACACATCTCGAGAACACCATTATTGTTGCCTCGGGTCAAACATGCTCTCCGTTGGTGTAGGCCTGCTTATTACTCTTTTGACAGAATGTTGTCGCAGTTTTCAAGACCCTTTGTTACACCGTCTACAAGTAATTAATAGTACACAACAGAACCGATTGGGAACAAATGCATACATGTAAGCATGTGGCCGTCTCTTCTCTTCTCTTCGTCCCGCTTCAAGGGGCGACCGACGCTTGCTTGCGTGATTGCCTTTCCCGTTCGTCGCTGATCAGCCGCGTGGCGCTGACAATCCTTACTGTTTTCAAAGATAACGATACATATGCGAGGTACTTCAACATCACAGCGGTATCTACATCCAGCAGCTGGTCACTCGCTCAGGACTCACTCCGGACTCACTCCAACCCATACTTCAAACGCACATCCATCTCCCCCGAGACCGAGAATACTGCTGTGCGGAGTATATTCAGGTGTGAGGTGGGTGCAGAAAGAACAAGAGTTACACGGAGGTGCAGCAGCAGAAGAATTTAATAATTTACTTCATTATTACAAACACACGTGGTTGTTGTTATTGTTTCTCACATTAGCTCAATCGTCCACATCAAATGGGGAGCCCGTGGTCTCCAAACCCGGCACATACAACGCCGCGGGGAAACAAAACAAAAACAGGGTACACACCACTCGGAAAAAGAAAACAAAATGATGAAAAGAAATAACAGGTACCGCACCGACCGTTCGAGAAAAGAGCCCTCGGAAACCGATCAAAATAAAACAAAAACAAAAATAAAGGAGGACGCTTCCCACACCCGCTAAAGAAAAAATCAAAGGGTATGACATTGTGACGACGTGACCAGGCAAGCTAGTGCTCTACAGCAGTGAGAGGTGACGGGTCTCTGGTAACAAGAAGGGAATATAGCAGGTATGCTGTAGGTGAAACCGCAGTTAGGGCGGCGAGTGGGGCTGTTGTGCCCACCAGATTTCCAATAACTCAGAACCACTTCGGAGCTGCTGGGCACACTGAAGTACCGGCAGGTGTGGATCAAACAGCTGGCATCGTCGGTGTGCTGCAACTACAACGGGCGGGAAAACAAAAGCACACCAGCCGGACGGATTGTTCGGCGAACTTCTATGTTGTTGTTTGTCTTCACATTAAACCGTATGTCAGTTGCTAAATGCCAAAATCTAGCAAAAGACTCTCAGCCCGTGGTCACGAAAGTGCTAGAGCCATCTGAGGATCTAAAGAACACGCACACATCTGACGAGAAAAAGGTATGCAAGAGCCCGAAGAGGTACACCTAAAAATCCCTGCAGCACCGT